AGACGGCAGGGCAGGGGACAAACGCCTTTGCTGCTCTGAGGTGCTTGAGGGAAAGCATGGGAACATGACACAAAAAGAACGGGGCCGAGGGAGCGGGAACAGGCACCTGGTGCTGAGGAGGAAATAGTTGGGCTGTGGTGTGGAACCTGCGTACGATGGCCTTGAAATGCAAGGAAAGAAGCACGGGCAGCCACCCCCTCCTCAAAATTGTGAGCCCAAAACTCCTGGAGGCCGCAGGTTGGCTGCCTTTGAGTTGGAGTGTTCAAAGTGCCGTTGAAAAATAATGTTAGACTTTCATCTCGGGGAGGCTGCAGCTTTGGGAATGTTGCCAAGTGGGAGCAAAACAGATTAATGCTCTTCTCAGATTAAGATAAGAGAATTTTTCTTTACAAAGGTGTTCGAGGCGACTCACCTGTGAAGTGCCTTCTCAGCTCACCTGTCTTCGGAAGCACGTCTTGCAGAGCAGTGCTGGTGTCTCAGTGTATCTCTCTGTGAACGGCTTCTAGGCGAGAAGAGTAGCGTTCTTTATATATCCTGAGCTAAGGCTCTCCTGGCACCGTTTCATGAGGGACACAATTCCACAGAATCCATTCAAAATACTGATGTGTTTGTTCTGGAACCTGAAACCCACATCCAGGTTTTGAACACGATTTCCTGGTTCCGTGTTTTAAGCAGCTTCTTGGAAGCTGGAGGGGCTACGCATAGTGTTTCTTAAGAACCATATGCCACCTATATGCTGTGTACATAGAAGAGATACAGTTCGGGGTACGGATCTTATTACATGGTATTTTGAGGGAAGCTGAAAGATGAGAAGCGGTTTGTCTTTTGTGTCCTGAACAGAAGTGGCGTGGTCCAGGCTATCTGCAAGGTGGGATCTTCCTGAAAGAGCCTGCCTGGGCCCTGAGATCTTCTGGGGTGGCCCTTCTTCTGGTCCCACCACCCTCACAGCCACGCTGACAGGGGATGCGGGGCAGGGCCTTCTCGGTGGCAGCCCCAAGCCTCCAGAACGCCGTTCCTAGGCAGCTAGGTTGGGACTTCCACTGACAACCTGCTCATTCCTGCAGGCATTTGGGAAAGGCCTGTGAGCTTGTTGTATAGCTCATTTAGCTATTTATATTTTTGTGGCCTTTCTAACGTGGGTATTTCTTTACTTTTATTGTGTAACTGACTTAAAGATAGGTTTAACCTTTGTATATTTTTCAATGTTTTATTTGCAAGAATTGTACCAATGTGAGACTGCTTGAGTCCTAATCAGTGGGAACAGGGGACAGAGAGAGAGAGAGAGAGAGCGCCTCTTCATTGTTCCTTTTTGAAAATATAAATGTATTGAGGGAGCTGCTTTTTTTCCTTCCCTTTTTACAGAATAGACGCTGCCACCTTCTCTGCAGAGGTCCGTAACATGCAATGAACCAGTGACTTTCAACCACCGGTCCATGGGCTGGTGCTGGTCCCCCAAAGATATCCTACTGGTCCGTGGGGAGGGGAGCATCCTGCTCACCATGGACCCCCAGGGGGTTGGCTGTGCTCCACCACCTCTTCCTTGCTTGGCATCTTGTTCACGGGGGATGCAGCAGCCCCCCAGGGAGGTGGGGGAGACACGGCCCAGTGGGAGCCGCTGGGACCCTCATCACGCCAGGTGTGCCTTATGGACGGGCCCCCAAGGACTGGCCTTCTGCTGTGTTGTGGTGGGGAAACTGTTGGGGGGGGGGGGGTTGTGCTGATTGTGCTTTCTGGGCCAATCTGTGCTGGTGTGTGTGTGGGGGGGTTAAGTGGAGGGGTTCACTGTATCTCATTATTAAGCAAGTTATTTCTTGTGTAGGTGTTAACGCAGCACTTCGTCTCTTGGAGGCCACACTGCAGCCGCGATCATCAAATATTCCCATGGGGAGAGAGCAGCAGATTTTGCACTGGCCTTGCTCGAACCGAATGTTGCTCTCTGGAAGTTTCAGTTCTATTCAATTGCGTTTCTTTTCAGTATTTTGTTCTTTTGTTGGCATTTTTTGTTGCTCGGCTTCTGGTTGTTTTGGAGAATTGTCATAGTTTTGGAAACTAATACAGAGAATCCTGCATTATGTGCATGGTGCGTTTTGCTTCTGCCTCACCAGGCTCCGAGGTGGTTCTCCTGTTTTCGCCAGGCTCCAGTGGTGGGAAAGTTGAAACCCGCTGCAATAAATGACCGCAGGCTTTCTGGACTGTAAGTCCAGGAATTGCAATATCTTTGGAAGCCTGGAGGACTTTCGGGGCACGAGCCGTGATGGGGGAGCCCGTCTGCTGCTCGCTCCGCATCGGGCCTTGGATGAGCCCGAGCCTCCATGTTCAGGTGCCAGCGTGCAGCCAGGACAGCAGGCCTGGGATCGTGCCCAAACAGTCTTGCATGGGGAGGGGAAGCGGCGAGCTCTTTTCAGAGGAGGGGCCTCAGCGTATCTCGCTGGCACACGGATGCGGGTCACTGCAAGGGCCGGGGTGCAGTTCCACAGAACTTTCAGACAAGTTTGCTCAGGAGCCTGGATCAACAACAGAATTGTCACGAACCACTCCCTAAATTTTATTATTAACACTGGAGGAAGCCTAGCGAAATAACAGAGCTTGTAAAATAAGCACTTACCTTTCCACGGAACTCTTTCATTTTCAAAGGCTGTGAAAAGGATTAATGCAAGTGAATTGAGTTAGTGTTCCTAATTTTGCTTCCTTCTCGCAGTGTGTTTGCTTCGGTGCTTCGCTGATCTAAGCTCTCACTGATTCTCCAGCATCAACGTACAGGGCAGCAGCTCGTGCTTGGAGCACTGCTCTCTGTTCCTCTGGTGCGACCAGCACTGTTCCGGGCTTTATTCCGGGATCCCTTCTCAAACATCCCAGAGTGTAGCGCTCAGAAGCATTGCAGAACCTTACTGGGAGCCAGTGGGTGCCCTTATTCCACAATGTGGGGTCTCTGGCTTACCCCAGCTCACATTCGGACCTGTAGTTTACACATACATGGCCCTGCCCACTTGATCTTCTAGGACACGGACAGAAAGGGCCCAGTCTAATATGCCCCAACATTCCAGAGTCTCCCAAGTTTGTGGGGTACTTTTATACCCCAGATGGGGAGCCTCCAAACTAAGAAACAAAAGGGCCAATTTTCTTTTCTGCAGAGAGAAGGTCAATGTGCCCGGCACTGTTATCTGGCCCTCCTCATTTTGGACGGCCTGAGGAAATGGAAAACCTGGATCTCAACGGCTTCCTGGTTTTGGTCTGCCCAGCATCTTTGGGCAGCTCCCAGGGCCCCAGGTTGGTCCCTGGAAGATCTGGCATGCCTGCCCAGCCATCCTCCCCCAGTCCAGATTTGCAAGGCTGTTGGTGGCTCCGAACATCCCTGGGCCGCGCTCCCCTGGGGCATTGTGGGAAATTGAACCATGGCAGGTGGCCCTCTGCCTCTGGCCCTGATGCCGCCGGAAGCTCCGCCGAGGCAGCGCTTGGCCTCTGCGCTGCAACCTGGGATGCCCAGCAGCTGTTGCATCTCTGCCTCCCCGTCGCTCAGGCCTCTGGCTCTCCCCACCCCAGGAAGAACCCCACCAACAGAGACACACAAGGACACGTGTGCTGCAGGATCTGTCCCCTCCCTGCCTCTCTGCGGAGGAAAAACTGCGGCAGCCCCTCTGCCTGCTGCTCTCCTGAGACTGGCCGGTCGCAGCCTCCTAGTCGGAGAAACAGCAACCGAAGGAAGACCTCCTGGCCTCCTGCAAGGCTGGCTGGGCGCTCCCTCTGTTCGCTCAGCGCCCCACCTCGGTTTTGCCCCATCTCGGATCGGTCCTGACTGAATGGCCCGTTGTTGGCAGGGCCCTGGCAACGCTCAGTGGCAGCTTCCCTTTGAGAGGAGCTAAATTCCTGGTGAATCTTGGGATGGGAATTCTTTATTCTGTATTCTTTTAAAGATATTTTATTAATTTTACAATATAAAATGCAATTAAAAGAAAACTTACAAGGGAAATAAAAACATGCAGCATCAAACATGCCATTAAATAAATCAGAAAAAGCACTCTGCCCTTGGCTGCAGGACCATCGGACACACTAAAAACTCTTACAAAACTTTTTTCAAAGAGCTTCATCCCCCTTCCAAATTCGCAATAACTCCTGTGAGGGGGCAATTCCTTTCCCTTTTTAAAACACATTTTCAGTAAATGAAC